GTTGGGGGGGTGTATGGGGGTGTTGGGGGGGGCTATGGAGGTGTGGATGGGGTTATTTGGAGTTCTGGACCCAAAAATAAATAAATAAATAAATAAAATTTGCGGGCTGCCTACCGGTCACCGACCGCGCCGATGGCGTCTGCCGTCGGCTGGTCGGCAGCCGATGGGTCCGGGGCCGCCAACCGTCAGCGTGACTTCCCTGATTCAGAATTATTTATTCTGGACATCTGGTTGTATCGGGGTTCGAACTTGGGTCTGTATTTCAACAGTCCATTAGTGTACCAACTGAGCTAGGTAGGCCCATTGGTAATGACCGTACGTTGTCTTCGGGTGAAGAAGGTATAATTACAAAACTGTCGCGTTGGACGAGAACGCAGCAGAGGTTGATAAACAGAGGGAGGGAAGAAAATGATCTGATGATGGCCCTAATTGTCGAAACCACAACGTCGGCAAAATAATGCTATGCGACCCACAATGCTTGTTCGGATTCTCACTTATTCCAACTGTCGCGTTGGACAAGAACGCAGCAGAAAGATACAAGAGAGGATGCGCGAGAACCATAAAAATGGGAATGCCAACGACCAAATAAGAAGCACGGAAGAGTCTTCACCTCACTGAGTGAAGGGTTGAGCAGAGATTTCGTGAGAAAAAAATTCCAGTGGAGAAGTCGGGGGCTCAAGAGAACAGTTTTCATACCTCCAAGGGCCAAGGGGCAAGTACGAATTCCGAGGTATAAAACAGAATATCGACACAAGGTCCAGAAGTCGCTCGTGAGTCTGGTACAGCGTTGCCAATTCATCGTCGGACCATGGCTGGCCTGCATTCTCATGTTGTCGCAGATCCCTGCAAAGTGAAGCACAACAGGACAAACAGTATGATTGATAGATATTAGATACCATTAATTGTTTTTTTTTTTAATAAGTGTGCCGACCTTCATTCCGAGGTATAAAACAGCATTTAACGACACGGGCCTCACGAGGTCTAAAAGTCGCTCATCAGTCGGGTACAGCGTTGTCGTCAGACCATGGCTACTGTAGCCTGCATTCTCATGTTGTCGCAGATCCCTGCAAAGCGAAGCACAACAGCACAAACAGTATGATTGATAGATACTATTAACTGTTTTTTTTTTTTAATAAGGGTGACGGTTTTTATTCTGAGGCAGAGTTGCACACCCCGACGATCGGCAGCCCTTGACTGGTCGGCTGCCAACCCGCCGACCGATCGGCTGGTCGGCACCTAGCAGTCGGGGATCATCGGCACCCCGCACTGTTTTTTTGTTTTTTTTTTGGGATCCAGAACCCCTAATAACCCCACCCACACCCCATAGCGGGCCCCAATACCCGCATACACCAACCTAACACTCCCGAACCGCCGTCAACATCCTTATTAAACCCCCTAATATCCCCTGTATCACCCCTATACTCCGCCTATACTCCAACCCATACCTGCGGCGTATCGCGTGCGCACGAGCTCCGCACGTGCGGCGCATAACGCACGTGTAAGCATGCACACGCACGTGATGCGACGCACCCCAATAAATAGGGTATAAAAAAAAAAATTGGAGAAGGCTGGCTGAGGTAGCCAATGGTGCACCTCCCCACAGAAAAAAAAAATAGGCCCCACGTATTCCTTGTTGAATAGTCTTTTTCGCGGAGACCCCAACAGTACATATGCAAGGGTCCCAACATCTCAAGAGATGTTCAGCAAATTTCGTATGAAAGAGGAGCAGGCCAGCAATATATGTTCTGGATCCGAAGTCAGGTCTGCTTTCGAGCAGCTATGGGTTACAAGTTACAACTACTGACTACTGTAGCTCTCTCTTTCTTTGGTTTCTTTTTCCTACGAGCAGTGGCCCTAAAGGCCTTGCTCCACTCGTCATCAGCACAAAAGACAAAAAAACATATGGCGGCGTATGGTTCCATGTTCTAGCAGAAGATTCATTCCTCTCCTTCTTTTGTTTCCTTTTCCTACGACAAGTGGCCCTAAGGGCCCTGCTTCACTCGTCACCACTTGCACAAAAGACAAAACATATGGCGGCGTACGGTTCCATGTTCTAGCAGAAGATTCATTCTAGTTTTGCACATTTGTAGTGGAGGGAAGCCCTGAAAAACACGTGGTGAGTTGGCCTGCTACTCCCCAGAAACTCGCGTGCTCAGTGATCCCATAACTGCTGAAACACGGATCTTAAAGTGAATCAACAACATATATACTTCGCGTGCCATGACTTCGGCATGGCTATGACTACTATCTCGTTCATGGCAACGTGGCCCTTACTGATTATGTGCAGGGCCCTCTCGGATAACCCGCAGGGGGGTTGAAAAAAATATTAAGGAGCTATTTGTTTACATCTTCCCCCCTCTCTCTCTCTCTCTCTCTCTCTCTCTCTCTCTCTCTCTCTCTTTTGCGT